CAAAAAAATCAAAACCAAATCAAACCCACACGTTAGGAGCCACTGCTCTGAACAATGTATGCCATGCAATAAAGCTTCCAACAATGTTCTTACAATCCAACTTACAACAGCTAGTATTTTGGGGATTGCAATCACAGTGAGCTGAGAGAAAAACTGACTGGCATCTTCATCCTCTATATGCTGTATATGAGTACAGTGAGGAGCAGTGCAGTGTGCAGTGGAGCACATGTGGGTCTCCATAGGAGCTTTGTGCATCAGCGTGAGCACATCAGACCATTTACGCCCACATGGAGCGATACATTCTACTGAAAATCTATCCATCAGCATGCAGCCAAAAGTGAGTTTTAGTGAGTTCTCCAAGTGTAAAGCTGGGTCTGATTCTGCCTGCTCTTACAGTGCAGTACAGCAGTGTTAGTGCAGTCACATGCAAACCTGAGTCATGGTACAAGTGGAGAGCGATGTGCAGTGATGAGCTTAGTGTGAAGCTAATACCTGGACCTGCTGCTGGCGTGAATACAAGTCAGAGTCCAAGTGAGTCTGAGAGTGTGTGATGGCAAAAGAAGAGGACAGGATGAGGTGCACATCACAGCTAGAGAGAAGCATGCACTAAACCAAGCATATGCTGATCGTGATTTCAACCCAGCAACTTCCTGCAGAAGTGAGTTTTAGTGATCCTCTCTCCTCTGCTTTTCTTTCTCTCTTTCTGCGTCAAAGGCTGTCTCTTTTATTGAGTGGTGTTATGAAACCAATCTACATTCTTAACTACCTCTCAGGTGAGTGCTGGGGGACAGGGAAAGGTGTGTTACTATAACAACCGAGTCAAAGGAGGAGTAGCCTGACTTTTGACGTGAACAGTGGAGTCTGGTGAGGAGGAGGAAGAGGAGGACGGGGCACAAGAGGAGGAGGGTGAGTAGGAGGAAGAGGAGTGAGCATGAAAGACTCTGCAGGTCTGCCTGTACTGAGGAGGCCTTTCGTTGTACAGCATAACTTCTTTTGTTTGTCTTTCCTTTAATAGCGAGGCTTTTCTAACAAATCAATGCTGTTATACAACAGGTAGTTAGAGAGCTCCCTCCTCCTGCCAGCAGCAGCTGCCTGCTGCATTAGCTGCTACTTACACATTTTCATTCTACGTTTTCCAGCAGGATTACATAACCCCAAGATTCTGTCCAAAGATTGATGTGGAACTGGCAAAACATGAAAACTGGAAGGAGTTTTTTCAAAGATAAATGTTTATTCATCTATATTTGAACAGCGGTAAATCAGGGCAATTTGGAGCTTTTTGACTGAGTCCTTGGAAAACAGAAAATAAACAAATGCCAAAATACCAGCTTCATAGATTGGACACAGCTTGTCAGATTACCCAGAAGGCAGCAGCAGGGTAAGTATACTTAAATGGTAAACCTCCAGAAATCCATCAGTATGGACTGAAGTGGGAGCTGCACCCCAGGACTCATCCTCTCCACCAGGAGGCCCCAAATTCAGACTCAGTGGTTTGTGTGGCTCATTGACTGTCAGTGAAACAGCTGGTGGTGTGCTTATCCACGATAGCCAGAAAAAAAGTTCCTCAAGTGCGAGATTAAATACGTGTTCCCTAAGGTCAGCGTGGAACATCTGAGTTGATAAATCCTTTCTCCCCAGCGGAGCTACAGTCTGGAGGGCGCTAATACCACTCACACACACCACCCAACTGTTCAAACCTCTGTACCACTCGAGCTTAACAGTGTTAGTTAGTTGTAGTTGTAGTCTTTGTGAGTCTTGAAGACTAAAAAACAAAGTCAAACTTATGCAACTGATGCAATGGAATCCGTATCCATCTTGGCAGATGTGCAAATAGAAACTCTTATGCTGCAGTAATACTTTTTTGGCCACTTGAGGGCATCAGAATAAGCTGTACACACAACATCTGACATCACCTTATAAAGTTAGGGCTGTACCCAACTCAAAATTCTTCCAGTCAAATCAGATTTGGCTGTTTAATACTAATATTCAATCATCTGTTCCTGTTTTTTTTTCCCCATGCACAGTTCAAGAGTTTGAAGTGGGTTAAGCAGGATGTTCAGTGTGACAGGGACACTTACTTAATATAGTAAACAAGCTAACTGCGCTAACAACAGCCCCGAGATGTACAACCGCATTTTTGGCATCACTAGATATAAAACAAAAGCCAGAGACCGTCTTGTGTTAGTTGCTGTGAGCTGTAAATTCACCACTTCTAAACAGAAGGCAGAAGATATAATGTTATCTCAGAGCCTTACGGTGCAAAGCTTCTCCTCCTGCGGACAGTTGCCTGTACCAAAGAGCAGCGGGTAAGGCAGGAGCTCTCACTCTGCAGCAGAATCTGGGGACCAAAATGTCCTAGAAGTGCACTGCACACTGACTGACTCAAAAACAAAAACTGAGAAAACCCAACTGTTTGACTTGAAGGAAATACAGTCAACTGAGGGGTCCGATGATTCGAATCTCTGACTTTCAGGGGGCAGCTCTAATATTTACTGTCCTTTTATACAAGGATACACCGAAGTTTTTCAGTCCTGATACCTGTGCTTTGGGTATCTGCCAATACCGAGTACCAATCTGATACCAGGGTTTAACTAATGAGTTGTGTGCGTCACTGTGACTGGGCCCATTGTCACTGGGATCAATCCAGCAATCCAGCGATCTTTAGTCTGAATCAGCCTGATATCCAAAATCAGTACAGGTGCATCCCTACTTTCTAGCTCTGTTTTGGTCTTCATAAACGCTACAGAAGAATGAAAACACCTTCTTGTTGCTGCTGGAAACGAATAAGAGCAGAGTTTGTGGGCCCAGAAGCCAAAACTAAGACCCAAAGTAGATCAAAAGACTTCAGAGAGCTGAGGACGACTGTGGGTCAACTACTGAAGCTCAGCGTAAGTTCAATCTGGAAGACTTTCTCTACGCTATATCCACTCACAATTCTCTCTGTATCCCACTCCCACTACTTCCACCACTCAGCTGACTATGGGTGTTCCCTCTCCTGGTTAGCCAATCAAACTTTGCTACGATCTCCTTCAGCCATTCATGTTGCTGCTGCCAAACTTTAAATCTGTTCTCCTCTCTGCTCCCTTCAGCTGTCAGCTCCACCCCATTCACCTCCAGACACCTTATCCAGAGCCCAGGACGAGCTCATCAAAAGCCCATTCCTCTTCACATGCAGATCCTCAGCTCCCTCTTCATCTCGTCTCATCACCACCATTATCACCACCAGCATCTAGACTCCACAGGAGGGGTTCCTAATCTCTTTACCACCCTCCTGGAATAGATGACATCACGGTGGGGTCTAATTGCCAAAGACTTTTCACATTTCTCATTCATATGTGCACATGTTAATAAATACTATTTTCTCTCAGAACTAGTCTCTTCCAATTGAATTGCAGGCTAAACCTCTTATACGGCAAAGGTAATTTGATCCATTAAAAAACATCAGTTAGTGCAGCTTAAAATACATTAGTTGAAATTCATCTTTACTTAACAGTTTTTGGTGATTTAATTTCAAATGTAGTTGAGTTTTTTTTTAGAGATTTACTGTCATCTCTGATAGTAAAGTTACTTGTTCAATGGTATATATCAACACAGTCAACACGTGCGTCAATGCCACATTAAAAGAACTGTTTCTATGGTAATTAATGTGCGTTCACACTATTTGACATATGTAACATACTTTCTGACAGCAGGTGTGACTCCAAAGGCAAATGGTTTTATTTAAATTAGACACATTAATACTAGAATGAACAGACATCTCATGTTTTATTTAAAGCTACACAGGTGAAAATATTCTGAGTGTAAACAGCTGAGAAAATAAACAGCTGTGACGCTGAAGGACGCAGCCCACGTCAAAGTGTTATGAGTTTTTCTGTGCTCACAGTATCGATCCGTTGGTTTAACACATATTGCTACAAACAAGTACTGTAAGTTCTCCACAGGGGAACAATTATTGACTTGCCAATGCTGGTATTGATAACCCCCTTTACTAACACACACACACACACTCGCACACACACAAATACACACCCTCGCTCATTCTCTCGGGGTACCGCTCATCTGTTCTGTCAAAATGTAGATACGCAATACTGTGCAACACCCAAAGGGCTCTTGACTGTGCACATAATCCCAGCAGAAAACACACACACAGTCTCTCTCGTAGGAATACTGATTCCAAGTACTCAAGGTACTCAGAGTTAAAAAGCCCTGCACATCTCCAGCTCTGTCAAACCTCTGCACCAGCTCCTCTCTTCCCGTTGGTCCCTTGGTTGCCGGCTAAAATCGGACCTTTCCGCCTTCCGTACATATCGTCATAATGACAGTTGACAAAAATAAGCAGCAATTATGTAATCAAGAAAAGTCAGCGACACATATAGACACATATGATCCCCTGAGAGTGCAAAGGTGGACATTGGACAACCTGTCATCAGTCTTGATTATGTGGGTGTTTCAGGAAGATTAAATGAAGCATGCTGCAGTACAACATACATCCCCTGAACGAGAAGGTAACTAGTGATCACTCCTTCTCTCTCCTTTTCCATTGCAGCTTGCTCTCTAACAGAATATTAACATTATAGATCAAGCCTCTGTGGCCTCTCTGGAGCCTCGTCTCTCTCTCTGCGAAACAAACAATCGCTGCAGTCTGCAGAGCGCACAACACATACGATAAAACACCTGCACAGACACATATGCGCACACACACACCTCTTGAGGCCATATGCTTGATGGTTAATTGGGCTCAATCCAACAATGCTAGTGGTTTTAGCCACAAGATGAATCTGTGTGTTTGACAACTGGGTGTATTTCAAATTATTTGGTATTTCAGCAGCTTTGCTAACGGTTACCCAAATGTCCCATCAGTGCCTTCCCTCTCATTTCTCATATTTTTTTCCTCTTCAAATATTTAAATCTGTCTTATTCCCATGTCATTAGTTAAGAGTGTCGATTCAAAAACACACACACACACACACACACACACACACACACATACACACACTTACATCTCTGATGAAGTACTCCAGGGTAGCATAGGCGATGGCAATCCCATCATGGGTGCTTGTGCCCCGTCCCAGTTCATCAAGGATGACCAATGAACATTCGGTTGCACGGGAAATGATCTCCGAGGCTTCGGTCAGCTCTTCCATGAACGTGCTGCGCCCTTTGTAGATGTTGTCCGAAGCTCCCATCCTGATGACCAATCGGACAAGGAACAACAGGAGAGGTCAGAGGTCGTTATGCATCAGTTTACAAAGTATTTTGTGCTTTTTTGAGATGGTGACTGTCGGACTGATTGTGCTGTCTGTTTTCAAGGTTAGATGGAAAGTCAGACTCCCTCATGAAGCAAAAAAACATTATAGGAAATACTTTAATGCTCATCTGTAAGGAAAAAAAAAAAGCTACTGAAAGGCTGCCAGAATCATCTCATCATTTTATTTTGAAATAATCTTTGGCGTGGGGATTTCAGAATTCATGTCCATGCATTGATTATAAAATGTTGTATCAAGTTTGAATGCTTCCAGTCTATAAATGATGTGTTCTCAAAGTTGAAGCCACTGAGATAATTCTGGTGTTCTTCCAGAAACCCAAAAAACACCCACAGACGGACAAATGGAGAATTTTTCATCCGTGAACCTGCTTCTCTTTTTCTTCCAGAACTCTGAGATGGAAAAGAAGGGGTGCGAGAAAAGTGTGAGACAGTAACCATAACACCCTGCGGCTCTTTATTTAAACTGCACAGAGGAAAAAGAAGGAAGTCGAGCTACAGCAGCAGTTTGTGGGTGACAGTGTGGAGGACTTAAAATGGATCAAGTCTCATCCTCCCCGCTTGTCGTGTCACACAGTTTGAACTCTAGGCCCTCAACGTTGCACTCTTTTGAAGAGGCCATGTTCAGTTCTTAACAACAGGGGTTTGTGGACCGGAGGAACTTTATCATAGTTCTGAGAAGGCCCCCTTTTTATTGTGTGTGCGCCATGAGAACTAGTAAGAATCATTCTTCTTAGAGCGCCACTTTGAGGGACTTGTTTTTAGCTCTTATTTCAGAGTAGGTACTCTCCTAGCACAAGAGGAACCTTGAGTGACGAAAATGTGGACAGTGATCAGTTGAACACATGATGGAACAAACGCACACACAAAAAAAAAAGCCCTTAAATTTATGTATTTCTTGGGGGAGCTCCCCAATGGGCAGCTCCTCTCAGGAAGTCTGCAGCAAAGTTTGGGCCGAAAACGCATCTGAAAAATGGCCAACATGAAAGAAACGTAGTGATATCTTTGATTGTGGCTCTAAAACAGTGGTCCTACTGCGAACATAGAGAAAGGTTCAAGGACGGCTATTGTCTTATGATCAAAGACAGCCTGGGATAAAATTCTGACATTGTCAGAAATTTGGGATGACCATCTCACTGTGTGACTGCTGTTACCACCTACATCTACTAACCAGCTAATAGAAATGCAGCATTAAATGACGCACTGGCACTAAACCCAAACAAACAGGCAGATAGCAGCTCGCCATGGAGACAAAACACGCTAAAAGAAAGTGTGGGATTCCAGCAAAAAGGAAAACCACGTGGAGGTGTGGCAGTAGAAGCCTTGCCTCTATGATGTGTCCTCCAGCTCTTACTATGATTGTGTAAAGACGGACGAAGGAGACAGTAGACGGTGTCATTGTACAACCTGCATCGCACAGTGTGGCTTGTACTAAATTTATTAGATTGCTAAAATCTCATAGTATGTAGGAGGCGTTAAAGGCTACATTACAATAATGTGATGTCATTTTCTGTTTGTCTTTACCCACTTAGTCAATATATCCACATTACTGATGATTATGTACTGAAAATGTCATTGTCTAAATATTTTGTGAAAGCACCAAAAGTCAACCGCAGAGTACCCCAGACATCCCTCTCCCCAGCAACACTTTCCAGCTCCTCCTGGAGGACCCCAAGGTGTTCCCAGGCCAGATGAGATATGTAATCCTTCCAGTGTGTTCTGGGTCTGCACCGGGGCCTCCTACCAGTGGGACATGCCCAAAACATCCTATCTCTAAGGCTGAGCCCAGCCAACAATATACAGGTATTCTGTCAAAAATTTATTTGATTTTCTCCACATTTCCCAGCCCTAACCAATTATTTATTTACAATGCATCTATTTCCAATCAATAACTGCAGGTCTCACAAAGCGAAGCCTTGATGTTTGGCCAGTTTTTGTTTTGATTTTGAACCACAAAACAGGTAGCTACACTATGGTACCTAAAGAATGAAGACACCTGAACACAACACCCGAATCTGATTGTTGAACATCTCTTTCAAAAACCATGGACATTAATCTGCTGATACAAGACTAGAAAATGAACAGAAAATGTTCTTGCATGAGGCCCGATGTATAATGAGAAACAACACTTTAAACACATTTACTGGTCAGCCTGGAACGCATGTAATGAATTTATTGACAAACACATTCAAGTATAATTGTGGTTAATGATGTTGCACTGTGGTTAAATCTGAGGCCAGTGACAGGGAATCAGAAAGACTCCAACAATGGAACAAATATAGTTCAGGACTGATGTCACCACCTGTTGAGCCCATGTCAATAGGACTTGACTGATTACAGAAATAGAATAACAACATGTTCAGCTCTTCACAAGCCTCAAATCCAGTGTGAGAGCTCCTCTGATGCACTGATACACACTGACAGACCCTGCAGTGACTCCAGCTGGATCACAGATGCCACATCTATCCGCCAGTCAGATTTTCTCACCTCTAAATCTGTCTTTTCCTGTCCTGGTTGTCCTTCGACATAGTACCACAGTATCAATGAACCACCGACAGGAGCCTCCAGCACATGAGTTACCATGGTTACACCACACGCCACATAGGAGAGGGGTGTGGCAGACATGCTGCTGCATTTCATTAGCCAATTTATAATGTGTGTGCATGTATGCTAAGACTCAGGGGAAATTATGACAGTTGGATCTATACTGCGCTGTGGGAAGGACGGACAGAATCAGATGAAAAGGAAGCGCGCTGTTCACACACTCTGTCTGTCCACTGATGAGCGGATGCACGGCAAAAACACAGGCGCGCTTCACCAGCTGGATGTCCTGCTGCTCTGCATTAAGTCCCTCCTTTCCCGCCAAATAAAGTGATTCTGAAAATAGTCCATTTATCATCACCTCTCCAGAACCAAAAAATGTTGAGCCAAATTTCAAGTGTTCTTCTGACTCCTTTGGTTCCCTTGTTGCTCTCAGATTGCCCCGTTATTTCATTTCCTTAACACCTTGTGACATCACTCTTCACTAACCAATCAAAACTTCTTGATTTTGGCCAAAAACAAACAAAATAAAACAGCGGTACCACAACACCAAACACCAAATGCAATTTTTAAAGTCACATATTGATATTTTGAGACCTGGATTGAGTTTTCGATGACAACAATGTCGTCTTAAAATGATTAAAGACACAAAAAAAGCATAGTAGCTGCGTACATCATTTAAAGCAGGTGCTGGTCATATATAAGATAGCAACAAACTGACTGGCTGTCATCACTTGGCAGTCATGTGACCACAGTGACACATTTTAATAATAAATAACTTTCTAATTTGCTGAAAATGTTTCTAAAGTCACACACCAGAGCAGTCTCCAACATAGCTGTCAATCATGTCAATTGCTCTGTACTGCGGTCAGACTGTCAAACTAGGCAGTGCTAATGAAATATGAATAAAGATTCTGTTACTGCAGTGCCTATTTCTCGCCTCAAATGCTTTCAGAAACATATTCTAGTTTACTGTTGAGCAGTCAACTGTTTCCAGCATGGCACAAACGTTCTCATTTTACAGCTAAACAGTGCACTAAAATATGCCTCTGAAAATATTTGAGGCAAGAAATAGGCAATGCAGTAACAGAATCTGGATTCATATTTAATCAGTGCTGCCAACTTTGACATGTTCACAAGCAGTGATTGACGTGATTGACCACTTATAATATAGAAGACATGTTAAAACTTTACGTTACTTTACATTTCAACAACACTGCAGTTAATGTGTGGTTAGGTTTAGGCACAAAAACCACTTGGTTATGGTTAGGAAAAGATCATATTAGCTCATACATGCATCATCCAGCCCAGCTGCCAGAAGAAAATTTGAACATTGTACATTTCTGCAAACCACAAATACATAACATTCGCACATTCTATAAGTATCATATCAACTTTTCTAAAATTACAGAAAAGTGACAGAAGGTGGAGGGCGTGTCACCTTGGCCTGACATAGGCGTGACCTTGGTGTGACGACTGCCAAGATGAAGACCACTGTTTGAGACCAACAAACAACAAAACCTGTTTTGATGCAGCCAGTCATCACTATTTCCAGTGTCTTTTTAGGCACCAATGTTAGTAACCCACTTCTGTTTTTCCAGCAGGGTTAGTGCAACAAAAAGCGGTTGTTATTTACACAGACAGCTGCTTTTCCAGCCCAGGTTGTGCCCCTAAACTTAATATTTTAAGCCAAAAAAAATTATCTTTTCCTAACCATAACCAGTTGGTTTTGTGCCTAAATATAACATGTTAACCATAGCGTTGTTGTAATGTAAAGTTATATAACATATCTACTACACAATAACATACAAATGTAATAGATCTGGGGTTTGCAGGAAAGTAAAATGTGACCATTTACTTCTGGCAACTGGGCCGAGCAACCACTTCGTTGATGCTAATGGAAATCCAAAAAAAAAGAATAAAGCCACAAGAAGTAATCCTCTTATCTAGATCTGTACAACAAGAGGATCAAAGTGAGCACATTACCACAAGGCATTTGTAAATTATTTAGTCAATCATTTAGCTTTGTCCAACCAGTTTATTTCTGCAGAGTTAACGCTGTCCCACAGAACACTAAAGGCCTCACCAGCTCTGTGTGCCGCCTACAAGATGGCACAGGCACTGACTCTGCAGCACTATAAAAACTCTGAGGAACGATTGAGTCGATTTAGGATGCAACATTTTTCCACATGCTCAACATGTTTCACATCGCTGTACAACACCCACCAAGGTGATGATGTTACACCGAGACCCGCTGGCACCAAAACACTCAGCACTGTTTGTGAGGTCCTTCTGCATATTAGCAACATTTCTGGGCCCCCCTAAAAATAAAAAAAAACCCTGCATTTTCTGACGGGAGGGGACCTTGTAAAAGACTTTAGTA